CCGGTTCCCAAAGACTCACTGATGCGACAGTCCGGTCCTGCGAATCCTGGGGCGCATTCACAGCGAAACCAATTCACGCCATCCACACAGAAGCCACCATTGTAGCTGCAAAAAGACAGATTGAAACGGCTGAATATCTTGAGAGAAATGCTCTTAAACTGACATCATTTTAGTGGATAATCTAATCTATAAACATGTAGATCAGTGGAGGTGAAATATGAAAATCCCATCCAGTTCTTTGAGAACCGCAGTGAATAATATATATAGTAAATTTGCTTTTTTTTTTCCAAATAATTCCCTAAAAGATTCTAACATACAGCCTGCACTTTCCATGCAAGTCACATAAAGAACACTGATGAAAATGTATTGATAATATCAATTTTTATGAGTGTGAATGAAGTAACTTTATAATGCTTTTAGAAAACCATCTACGATCTGGGTATTAATACAAAAAACAGATATGGTTCTAAAGTAACTGAAGGAATATAATTAAACCTGACTTTATTGTCATGGATATAAATAAACCCACTTTGTAAAATTGAATCATGTCCTCTGCCCGCACAGACTATGAGTGGCAGCAGGCTGAAGCTAAAGCTGATCCCAGATCAATGTCTGGACTTCATATGTAAATCCATGCGGACCACATACTGAGCCCCCTGCCCCCACATCTTAACACCTCCACTCCTTACAACTAGCCCCAGGTCAGGCTGCTGAATGGCAAGATGGGCGTCTCTTCACACTGTCTTGCTCCTCTCCCCCCTTCTACCTCCTCCCCCCAAAAAACCAAAACCACCACTAATCCACCTGTCAGTCATTAAAGGAGAGGTTGAGGATGTGTGTGTGGGGGTAAGAGGGAGGCTTTTGTCCAGGGTAGCTTTCTACTGATTCTGATTTTTTCCTTTTTTTCTCTAAAACAAAATTTGTCACACTTGATGCTAGATCTGTAAATCTTTGAATCCTGATCTCCCAGTGATAAGACCAGTTGCCAACGGTTGGGGCATCCTAATAGGATTCACATTCAGATGCTTCAAACCCTTGTTTATTTTCAACTGGTTGAATTTATGGTTTGTCTGTTTTGACAGTTCAACCTTTCTAAGCGTCAGCAGTTTTGACACACCGCATGCCGGATCTTGTGGCGGTTCGTCACGGCAACTTAAAAACATCAGGCGTGCCCAGCGTTCAATGTTAGCATACATGTGAATCCTGTCTAAATGCGGCAACTGATTCTGGTAGGATTTATGACTGGAATCTAACACTGTATGAAGGACTACTATCCATCCAATTTTATACTGCTTATTCCCAAGAGGTTCAGAGGGGGCTCGAGCTTTAAAAAAGTATTTTCGCTTATGAGGAAACGCTGTTGGATCGAGTGTAGTGGACCTTATTAAAACCATGAGAAATGGACTGGAGCGGGGTATACTGCATAGATCCCCCCCATACAATGACAATTTTGCTGTCTTTACTTTGTTTGTGCTATTCATCAAAATGTGCAACAGGAAATTAACAACTAAAGGACGCTTCCAATTTTACGGGATGAGTGGAAACTCCAAACTGAACTCAGAATTAACATAAATTAGTGATGTTATTTACAATGGCAGATAATTATTTTCTGACTAACCTGAAAAACATACATTTCAAAGTCAATATAAAAACAATTTGAATATCCACTTCAATGAGTTTCAATGAAAGTAAAACATGACAAGTGGATATTAAAAGCACTTGAAACGATGAATGAAATACTGAACTAACAAAAGCATGTAGTGGCTAGAAAGGTAAGCATTTGCAGTGCCAAAATGAAAAGGGTCTTACCAGGGATGTGGATTGCAGTCATCAACATCTGCAAGAGAAATGGACCACAAATTAGAAATTACTTTGAGCTTTTTTCAGACTCAAAAGCTAACTACAAGTAGGAATGAATTACTTTTGAGCAGTTGATCAGATCAAGATTAAGATATTCTATAGGGGATCTATTTACATAAGCTTCAGAACTGGACATATCTATACATCTAGACAACATACTTTGTGCACACGTTGGTCCTTCCCAGCCGTCTTTGCAGATGCAAGTGAAAGTGTCCCCCCCTCCGACGCAAGTTCCTCCATTCTCACATGGACCCAAGTCACAAGTGCTGTTTTTGGCTATATAAAAAAAAGGACAACGTTAGGTATTCACATGTACTTTTACTCTGATGGCTATTGTGTACAAAACCGCTGCATTATTTGAATGAATGTAGCCCGAATCTGACCTGTGTTGCAAGTGCTCCCATCCCACCCCGAGGGGCAGCTGCAAAGGAAAGAGTCTCCGTGGTCGTAACATGTCCCTCCGTTACTGCACGTTTTGGAATCGCACTGGCTCTCACCTAGATAAGGGCAACATAGAAAAAAAAACTGCAAACGTCTGACTTGACGCAAATCTTGGCTGTCAAAAATGACATCAAAGGAAAACAAGCCCGTGCAACAAACTGTATTATTCCTCAGAATGAGAATTGACATGTTTGAGACCATTTAGGGCTAAGAATAAAATGCTGCGCTGTTTGTTTGTTGAGTGACGCTGACAGAAAGCGGTTTCCATTCTGAGAGCAGACATGTTGTATAACTTACGCGAGTGGCAGGTTTTTCCCTTCCAGTTGTCTACGCAGTTGCAGTAGAAGTCGTTGAGCAAATCGATACACTGGCCCCCGTTCTGACACGGGTTTCTACTGCATTCATTCACATCTGGGACAAAGTTAAACACAAAATAGCAGATTATGCAAAAACTACCATGACAAGTTGTTGAAAGGCAAAGCATCAACAAATGAGGAATCTATTCAAATCAAGTTTCAGTCCAGATACAGACTTCGCTAATTTACAGAATACATCATAACAAGGATAAAGATGATTTATGATCATCTTTATAATGATTTACGTTGTGTAATTACACTTAATCCAGTTGCAATATCATTATCCTCTTATAAGTAACAACACAGTTTAGACTAATCAATTCAAACTATTTTAAATCTATGGTATCCAATGAATTCAGTGTATCATGTCAATATATGGGAATTCTTTGGCTAACAAGTCCCAAAATTAAAATTTGTATTTGTTCTGTTGGTCAACTGCAATCCAGTTTTCTGCTACACACACACACACTCACCAACATCACACAGGCTGCCCTCCCAGCCATTTGGGCAGAAACACTGGAAGGAGTTGATCCCATCAATGCAAGTGCCTCCATTTTTACAGGGCAATGACGCACAGTCATTAATGTCTGCGGACAGAAAGTGGAGATTCTGAACTAAATGTCGATCCAAAAAAATAAAGTCAACACATATATACAGATCGGCATATATATTCTTTTAACTGTTTAAAAGACTGGGTTTCTTTGAGTTGTGGAATAAGCAATTAAAAGTTTCTTGGGAAAGTGGAAACCCATAAGCTGATCGCGCTATCCTCTGGATTTCCGACTTGTGTTTCTTTCTTTAGCCATAAACCAAACTAAGACAGTGATGATGAGTGGTGAAACGGGAGTCGGAATTACCAAAAGACTTGTGGTTCTCAGTGACGGTAACTGCCGATAAATATAGTATATGTGTGTGTGTGTGTGTGCGCGTGTTAAGCTAATAATGACTCACTCTCATGGCAATAGGTTCCTGTGAATCCTGGATCACAGGAGCAGCTGAAGTTCCCAGCGGGCAGGCTGATGCAGCGGCCGTGTGGTCCGCACACATTGGATGAGATGTGCCACACAGGCTGCCGGGTATCATTGGTTGCGACGGCGACGGTGCAACTGTCGATAACTTTGGGTACACAAAGATTAAAAAAAACAGAAAAACAGTCACAAAGGCACAGAGTTGGAGGGATTTGTCACTAGGGATGGGGATCGTTAATATTTATTGACATCGATACCTTTATCAATACTCCTTATCGATCCGAGTCTTTATCGATACCACTATCGATACTTTTCTGTTATTTGGTGGAAAGACGATGCGGCTCATTATTTAGCAAATAAAAAATTGTATTCTAAATTAAATGTAATTTTTAATAAATGTTGGCATCAGTAGTTTAATT